CCCCCCACCCACCCACCCCCCCACCCACCCACCCACCCACCCACCCACCCACCCACCCACCCACCCACCCACCCACCCACCCAAGAGTAGGCAGGTCGGCAGGAAGGGAGGTAGGTAGGTGGGTAGGCAGGCAGGCAGGTAGCAGGCGGACATCTAAAGATCTTCTGTGCAGGACATATGCCGTGAGAAGCAAAGCCCTGGCCTCTGCTTCTTCGAAGTTCGCAATGCGCTTGGTTTGTGATCCCAGGTCACTTCCGCACCGCAAACGTGGAGCCCTGTGCAACAGCTTTCGTCCGAGCATGGCTAGGGCAGCCTCCGCTGAGGTGTCAGCCGTTAAGCGGCATCGTCTCTCAGTTGACACCAGGCCGAGATCTCAGCACATGGCAATTTGAGCGTCATAGGACTGAACATGAGAGCTTGATTTCTGGAGCTTGAGGCTGCCTCAAAGAGCACTTGGTTTGTGAACTATGTGGAAGAAAGAAGCAAGAGACGTGGCATGGGCAATGCGCCTGCCAAACTGTCTCCATGCTCCATTGCAAGCGATGCAGATTATGCAAAATTTTTGGGCAAGCTTCTCAAAGAGAAGCTGCCGTAGGGATTCACGACATCGTGGCATGCGATTGCTTTGGCACGGTGCCGCAGATTCCTGGCTCACGTCTGAGAGTTTCTCAGAGTTGACACAAGTTGACACCGGTGCAACCAGGACGTCAAGTAATCGGGTGCATGCACCCAGACAACCTCTCTGAACTCGCAATCGACTTGCTGTCTGTTGATCATTATTGACCAGCAGTCAGGTCCTTACGCACTTGTGGGCATTCTGCCTCGGAGATCATCGGATGATCTGTCCGTTTCACCAGGTTTCCCTGAACACCTGCGGACAAGCGCTGGAAATCGACAATTGACAAACATGGCTTTGCTGCCACTTGCTTCAGTACCGCACGATAATACCGTGTCGAGCTGATGTCTATGGCCAAGATCGCTTGTTTACCGTTAAGTTGCACATTTGCTGACCCAGAGACCGGAAGTGAGATTGAGTGGATGTCGAAGAAGTGGGTGTCGAAGCTTCTTCACACGACATCGACAGTCACGAAAGGCACTTGAAGTTCCTGTCCTTTGCCAAGGCAACTAACTCATCACATGTTAGATGGCCCATGTCGCACCGCGGCTGCCTTTCGCCGCTGGACTTGAACGTGGGCGAGGCTTGCGGAGAGCTGCTGGAAGCTTGCACCCGCAGCGTCGTGGTTTGCCAAAGGAATTCCAACCACTCTCCCGCCTTCCCGGCAAAGTCGCGGCTGTAGGTGCTGCAGGAATGGTGACAAGAGGCCTGCCTTCCAAGGCTCCGGACAGGAAGCGACAGCGAGAGCTTTCGTGGGAATGCAGCTGCAGGGATTGCCGGCTGGGAGGAATCGAGGGCGGGGCAGCTCGCGTGGAGGTGGCTCTGGCCTCTGGAGCTGGCCAAGCCAAGGAAGATGGATGCAATGGAGGCATCAGGTGGCGTTACGGCGAGCCAATGGCATTCCATCGAACTTGCTGGGAGCAGCTGCTCGCCAACCGTCACTTGCAACTTGAACATTGTCGTTCGTTGATATGCTCGCAGCATTGGCGTCGTCTCATGTTGTGTCCCAGCGAGATCGTGCGCAAAGGGAATGCGTAGTTGTGTGACCAGCTCCGAGGACGTAGCCTGGCGAAATCAGATCTGCAACTACTGCAAACGGCTGCATCCACCGCTGAGCATTTTGATGCCGCTTCTGACGCTGGGAACACGTTTCGGGGCCCAGAACACTTGCGCAATGTTACGGGGGCAGACGCAGGCTGCCGAAGCAGAGTGCCTGTGAGATGAGGACATGGTCCGCCAAGCTGGGAAGGCCGCGGACGTACTGCGCAAAAGCTCGTGCCTTGATTGACACTTGAAACATGCTGAGAGAGGGATGGATGTGTTTGCACTTGAGGCGAGCAATCTGCTTCACGGGAGCAGGGCTTTCTACAGCCGCCGGACTGGGCGATTATCGGGGCAAGCAGGGCAAGTGGACTCTCGAAGCCCAAGGCCTGGTTGGGGGGACCCGCTCTGCACCTGCCCTCTACGCTCACTTTGATGGGGTCGGGGCGGATCCATGTGACTTGGGCCCTCGGGGCTCACCCACCGCTCGTCCCGCGAAAAGCCACATCATCAGTATCACACAAACACCATTCACACGTTTTCGCTTGCTTGCTTGCTTGTTTCAGCTCCGAGTCCCCCTCAACATGTATTCGTGTGCAGCTGGTAAAGCTGGGTCCAGTGTTTTTAAGAGACCAGACCTTCGGGGGCAAAACAAATTAAAGGCGTTACCTTTCAGCGTTCAAGGCGGGGAAGCAGACGGACAATATTGAATGCAGATCTAAACAACCTCCATAAGCCTGCTTGACAATGGCCGCAATCGGCTCTGGGGAAACATCAGCAGGTGAGCTGTTTTAGTACATGAGTTGCGTTCAAAATCCGCGTGTCTGTGGGGTTAGTTGGATTGACATTCATTCGTTCGGGGAGCATCTACATGGCTGTTCGCTATGACACGAGGCAGCACGCAAGTAGAGTCACGAATTACCCGTTTGGCGCCACGTAGCAAGACCGCTAGCAGGGCGCCGCCAGACATGTTTGGAAGTTGGAAGGTGAAGCTCTTGTGCAGCTGCGCCTTGTCATCCCAACCCTTTAGCGGAACTTCAGCGCGCTTGTGATGACAACTCTTCGCAGGTAGAGGTAGAGTCAGATCACTCGGTTTGCCACGGCCACCTGCTTCCAAGATCCATGCTCGATACGAGGATTGGAGTAGGTTGTGTCAGACAGGTGCTTATAAGACTAACGCTCGGTACGTGGATTTGTGAAGTTTGCGGGAGATGCATGCTTGAAAGATCGACGCTCGGTACGTGCCTCTTCTGGTTTTCTGGCAGCTTTGCTTCCTTATCCGAGCGAGCATCCAGCCACAGGTCATGTTTGGGTAACTATTTACATGACAGCACCGTGCACTAGCTCCGCTCCAGCGTACGGCGCGCGGCGCGAGTCTTCCATTGAGCGAGCGGACGTATACAGCGCCGGAAATGCGACTTGTGTGGACGCTGTTTCATGGGCCTGTCATAAGCTCTTTAAGAAGGTCGGTCAGAGCCCCGTAAACCCTTCCACAAGGTGCATCGGAGCCACAAGAACCCTTCAGGCAGGCCTGGCCTGGCATCCGAACATCAACCGTTTGAGCGTGCACGCTGGGGTTTCGCACTTCGGAGCCCGGCTTGGCATGCATCCAAACATCAGAACGAACATCAACCGTTTCAGCGTCCACACTGGGGTGAGTCCGGCCTGCCATGCATCCAAACATGAACCGTTTCAGCGTCCACACTGGGGTTAAGCAAGCGGGGCCCGGCCTGGCATACATCCAAACATCATCAAACGTGTCAGCGTCCATACTGGGGCTACGCATTTCAGAGCCGGGCCTGGCATGCAGCTGAAAGCATCAACCGTTGCAACGTCCGCGCCGGGCGATGATCGGCGATGCGGCATGGCCGCGTTTTCTGCTGAGACTTTCTTCTATCAGTTCAAGAATGAGTCTCGGTCACCATGTTTAGCCGGGAATCAACTCATCTCTCGGGTACGCAGATCTTGGGGTTCTTTCGGCCAGCGGTCGGCTCCCAGAGTCAAAACTCGCCACGCGGATCTCGGGTGTATCGCGTCCGTTGTTCGAAGATGGCGGCTTCGGCTGTGCGCATGCACATTTTCTTGTTTATTGCTTCGGAGATCTTTAGCTGCAGCAATGAAACATCAGAAACCAGCGCCACCTTGGTGATTCGCAAACAAATCGCAGCAAAAAGAAATATTCCGTGGCGAAAGACAAGCGTCCGCGAGCTTTCGTTTAGTTTCGACGTTTCCGGCAACGATCAAAAACCCAGCGGCACCTTCGGGATGACGGCTTGTGTATTCTGGCGCTGCCTTCAATCAGCGTTCCCGGCTCTGGCATGTGGTAAATCCCACCCGCCCCCATAGTGCGGAAGGTGTATCTGATCCCGCAAAAAACGTTTTGGAAGATATATCGTAGTATCGGCGAAGCTCTTTAGAGGCCTGCATCCACTCGGGAGAGGGACACGGGACCAGAGTCGATTGTGTCACGTTGGCCCATGCGTTGACATGGTGTTTGCATGTGCCGGTCGTGACTTCTTCGTCTTCGCCTGGACCAGTGCGTTCGCGGGTGTGTGGTGTCGGTCTCGCCTTTCAGTGCTACCTGTAATTAAAGAAAGAAGGCTCTGAACCGCGATTTCTACTGCGAAGTTGATTTGCCACATCATGGAGAACGTCGCTGTATGATGCGTCCCAGTTTCTGTCGACCATGGATCGCCTTTTCCTGAGACATGGCTAACGTGGATACAGCACACAAACCGGTATTCCATCTTTGTGGCTGTGATCGGCAGGGCCGGAAAGACAGCAGCATCGTGGGCTACAGGAATTGGTGGCCCCGCGCAGCCGCGCAGCTGTGTGCAGCCTCTGAGCGTGCTTTTTTTAATTCAGGCTCACGCGCTGCAATTTGACACCCGCCTGCCCTCCCCAGTATGGGGGAGTGGAAGCACGCGTTCGAGCAGAGTCGCCACACTGTCGTGTCTGCTGGCCCAAACGCCAAGTAGCGCGGATACCTCATTGACAGGACACGGGGATACACGGGGCATATGCCGCCGTTCCCCAGCTATGCCGAATCTTGCAGCCGTGAGGGTTGAGTCGTTTTCGTCGTGCTTGCCTTTTTGATTTGTTCAATTCAAACGCACGACATTTTTCACGACGCTTGCACGTACGCGCATTGTCGTGTCACTGTCGTTGTTTTTGACCCAATGGCCAGGTAGGGCGGTTAACAAGAACGGGGGGGCGCCCGCCGCACTGCCCCATTTATGGAATATGTTACAATTTCGCAGCCGAACAAGACCGCCCAAGCGTATGTGTAGGGCGTAGCAGCTCGCTCCACTCGTATTTGGCCGAACGAAAGAATCTGCAAGACGCGCAAATATGATGGTCGCTCAATGGCTTGCTAAGCTCCTGGCAGGTGCGGACCTTGCATACACTACCGTGTATGAGGAACTGCGGCCTACTTTTGCACACGAGGCCATCGCGAAGCTCGTGGAGATGGGCAAGACATTCGGTACAAATTTATTTGCCTCACACGCTCAAAGCCTCGCATATTTCTGGAGTCGTCCTCCCTATTCGCGAAGTACTCACGAGTTAGCAGTGTCGAACGACTGCACTGCTCTCTGGGACAAGCCTGCTGCGTGCTGTGCCTATTAACGAATTTGACCCTCGGTCTTGCCCCTTGCATACGCTCAGGATTGCATATGTGGTGAGCCAGAATGCAGATGGATTGCATCATCTCAGCGGAATTCCTTACAGCAAGCTCTCCGATGTTCATGGCTCCGCCTTCACAGAGTACTGCCCTAGCTGCGGAAAGCGCTATGTGTGCCGTGCTCAGCTTTTGGCACAGCTGCCCTTGAGACCAAGCGCAACAACTCATCCTGCCGGAGGCGGAACTGGTACGTACCTGAAGATCGTGCAGAGGTGCCGATGCTTGAAAGTGCGTGCCTGTTCACTTGAAATGAGACGTCTGAAGTTCAGAACGCCGCACTCGTGAATCTCAAGCTGGCTCCAAGGACTACTTAGCTGGCCTTCTTCCTGGCCCCATCCCTCCCCACATTCGACGATGCCCTGGATGTGGGAGCAATCATTGGACGGGCCGCAGCTGTGATGACTGCGGGGGGTGGTTTGCTGCATTTTCAGCATTTTGGGACTTGTTTTGCTTCCTGGGGCAATGAAGCCGGGCATGCCCACTGCGCAGATCAAGGGTGTGATGGCATGCGGTGGCTCTAAGGCCTTTGCATGACACGGTCATAAGCTTCGGCGATGGACTGGAAGAGTGCGTTCTTCGGCCAGCCTTTGAGTCGCTTGGCTGAGTCTCTGCACACTGCTACAAGGTGACTTCCCGCAACCACTCTGCGCTCTAAAGGCATGCGGCCGTGGCGGATGCCTGTCTAAGAACTTCGGCATGCACTATTCCTATCTGGAATTCAAGGAATGCCTCCAACAACGGAGCGTTGGTACCTGTATGACTTGCGCCGGATACATAAGAATGCATGCATTGGATTGGGTCTGAAGCTCAAGCTGTTCAGACATGCATGGCAAAGGCACGGGAGTCAGGACAGATTCTGGTCGTTTCTGAGGTGCAATCGTTTCCCGGGCCGATGAGGGGTTTTTTGGTCCTAGTTCATACATTGCGCACCACTTCGTGACTAAGCCGCTGAATTTGAGTGGCTTAGTGACCTTGTTCACTGTTTCCGTGTCGCCCTCGCAGGCAGGCGCCCACTGCTTCCCATGAGCATGATTATTTCGGTAATGGTAGGAATGACGTTCGTACTTGTGGTCATGTTGCTGATGGTGGAGCCCAATTGCCCAGCTACTTGTAGGCCTGATTTCTCTAACGCAGCCACACAGGTTTGTTTGAAGTCGCCGCCGGATTAATCTCGTGTTTGTTCAATGTAGGGACATCGAACAAGTAGCAGGCGACGCAAAGTGCTATGAAGTGCGAGCTCCTGTCGCCAAGGCCTGGGCAGTACAATGAGCATCGGGCCTTCCAACCAGGCTGACGGGAGCTGCGGGAAGCCTCGTGACGGACACAACGAAGTGCGCAGGTGGTGGCCATTCAGAAGGGGCCCTTGATCGTCTGCGTGCGACAGGCACCCGTTGCAGTCGTTCGGGCACAGAACAGCTGCACGCAGAACCAACGACGCCCTGTCTTGCGAACCCGAGCTTTGTCGCGTGCATGGACGGAAAAGAGGAAACTGGCTCAACATGGGTGCTGCTTTCGTAGTATGTGTCCTGCAGGATACGGAAATGGACCCGTTGTGCCAAGCCTCCGGAGACTTGGATGTTTGAAAATCTGAAAACCGGATCAGTGCGCACAACCGGCTAGGATTATCGTCAACGGTCAGCGCATGAAAGGCGGTGTTCGGGTGCATGGAGATTGCGATGAGCCCAGCCCTCAAACACTACATGAGTTTTGAACCGGCCCTCTGCGATGAACATCTGGGATCAGCCGAAGTCTCTCATGATTCATGTCAGCTCCCCGCCAGGTTCATGTATCACGTTATGCTGGCTTTGTTGGGGGAGGAGCAGTTCAAGGATTGGGAGGTACCACTGCTGAAGGGGCACTTCACTTTGCAAGTGTCGCCCATTCAGCAGCTCAAAGCTGAGGCTTCCCTGAACGAGAAGCGCGCCCTGTACAACTCCCAGCGCCCATCGGTTGGGAAACAACGAGGCGATATTTTCGCAGCCTGCCTCGACATTCTCACCCTGATTCAGCTAGTTGCAGCAGCAGCTTGTGGGAGGCAGAGTGCTTGGAGCACTGAGGTCAAGAAAGTTTGACGTGCTTGCTGCTGGGAGTGATGACGAGCTGACTGTCGGAGGGATGGCGGCAGCTTCAAAAGAAAGCATGACAAGCCACAGCCACTTACTCGAACTCCCGAACGATGCAGCAGCATACGATGAGCCGTCGAGCTTCGTCTAGCTTCGCAGCTGATTTATCCCTGGGGCTGGGCGGATGAGCAGGCAGCATGGGGCAACCAAGCAGGTGACAAGTCCAACTTCAGCAAGAAGCAAGAACGCGGGATCTGTGTCAAGACCACACAGCAGCGCATGACATGGAGTACATACAGTATACGTGTTGTGTCTACTTGTCTCTGTGTGGGAGACTTGGCATGGCAATTTAGATGGGCTTCCATATTCCAGCACAGAGAACAAAGCCGCTCGGCACACTGGTGGCTTGCAGCACTTCTATTGATTTTGGGCCCAGCGGCTGACACGAAATCTGAAGAGCGACGGACCTTCACACCCCTTCCGCTTTGCCTCTTCGTTCGCTTGCTCGCGCAAGCGCTCACTCTTTTGTTTTCTCTCCGATATTCACACACACACACACTCTCTCTCTCTCTCGGTCTCTTTCTCGCTCAGTCTCTCTCTCTCTCTCTCTCTGTCTCTCTCTCTCTCTCTGAAGGACCATCTTGCGTAGCGAGGTCTCCCTCAAGACCGCCCGACCAGATTGAGGAGCGACATCCGGAGCCCACGCAGAAGGGCTCACCAACATCCGAGTTTGCAGCCTCCTTGCTCTGCACCTGGCATACTTCCGCAACCTCTCGCGTGGTCCTTGATCAGATCTTGTGGTGCTGCGAAGTATTTCCTCCGAGAGGGAAGACGGCAGGTGCACAGAATCCACCTTTGGTGGAACCCGACCAGTCACCAACTATCGCGGCCCAGCTTACCGCTTGAGCGGAAGAGACGCAGCTCAGGTGTGTAGCATCCTACAGCTCGCTTGGTTCAATTCGCTGCAAACAAGCGCCAAGCGGCCCATGATCCTGCAGAGCCCGGAAACCGTGCCCTGCACAAAAACCACATTGCTGATGACATCGGCACTCGCATGGCGGCATCACCATGCCTTCTGAAAACGGGCCACGAAATGGCGAGTCAGTGAGTCACTGGTCGAAGATCTGACCTCTGAGAAGGGCTCGTGAGAAGAACATCACGCCTCTGCTTGCGGCAGGAGACTACTGAGCAGTCTTTGGTCACAGAGAAGTTGTGCACGTGGCAGCATCGAAGCCGTACTACTTTCAACGAGCTTTTGTGAGGAGGCCGTTCCAGGAGGGCACGCATGAGCTGCCTGGTCTGGGACAAGGCGGGATTCTTCCTCAAAACATCAAGTCATCAAGTACCAGTATGTGGAGCCTTGCCTGGTTTGTGCGAGAGTGAGAGTCGAAACCACGAACCGCTCCACTCCCCTAGTCAGGCTAGTTGTGTCTCCGGGCTTGAACCCACAGCCTGACATCTTACATGTTCATGTCTCGACACTGCCGAAGTCTTGGATTGTCAAACTCTACGGCTCAGCCTCTGGTCCTCCGTCTATGGCTGTTGCCGAGGCTCGTGAATGACTAGCACTCCTGTGGTATTCAGAGTTCTGTCACTGAGCGATGGCAACTGTCATGAAGATGATGGGGGCTAAGTTTGCCAGTGATACGATTGTCGTCACTAGGCGGTGGCAGCGGTCTCGCTGTTCGTTCGAAAAGCGCGTCCTGTTTGCATTCAATCTCTCTTGTTGTGAGCCTTCCTTCATCCAATACCCTTGCTTAGGCTTTCGTGTTCAAGTTTTGACGGTTTGCTTCCGCCACACGCTGAAGCAGAGCCAACCAATTACCGCCTCTGGCATCAATGCGAGTGGCCCCATTTGCAGCACATTCGGCGATGCATTCACAGTAGGGAGAAAGAATAGCAGTGCTGCAGACTTCGGTTTGCCCATCTCTTGGACGATGGACATAATCAAACACAAGATGACAAAGCAAGCCAGGCCAAGCCTCAAAGGGAAGGAAGCCAAGCGCTCCTTCCCAACCCATGTTCCAGCAAACATAAATGTGGCCTGGGATTGTTTGTCAAGTATATCTACACCATCCTTCAACACCCCATTCTGTCCCCCACCGCAACACTGCCACACCCATGGCCAGGCGGAGGAAGATCAGTCGAGGGACGTGCCAGGTTCCGGGCTTACTCGGATCAGAGAAGGATGTGTGGACTTGTCGGGTCTGCGTTGCTTGTAGTTCGCGTGCATGCCCATGTCGCCTGCATCACGGGGCTGACTGGAGCTGGCGTTTGATTCTCAAGACGCGGGCCAACGAGGGTAGGTTCTTTCAGCCCTAGACGCTTCTTGACTGCACAAACGGCACAGCTACAGAACCAGGCCCACCATAGCGCGTGTTATTGCTTGTCTGTTTGACTGAAGGTGTCGTGCGGAGGCATGGCTCCTTCGATGGTTGTGGGATGCCTTTGGTTCCTCATGATCGGCTTCATGTTCTTTGCGCAGCATCATGTTTGTGATGCATACTTCGTACCTGCAATCAATGTCTTTGTCGGCAAGATGAAACAAAGTGACAACAAGTGGTTGCAGCGCTGGGGCCAGGAAGCAGTGGCTGGAGCTACCATTTGCGCTCTGGGGTGCAATGGACCGGAGATGTTCACCAACCTCATCTCGTTGTACACAGGCTCCGATGCCGGAATTGGTGTTGTGGTTGGGTCGGAGATCTTCAATCTTCTCATCATCGTCGGTTTGACAATCTCAGCAGCACCAGTCCTGCCTCTTGCTCTGGAGCGCGTGCCTTTTGCCCGCGACTGCATGTTCTACGCGTTGTCCATCGTCTTGCTGTACTGGGCACTGCTCGATCACAAGATCGAGTCTTACGAAGCATGGGTGCTGCTTGCTGCAGCTGGAGTCTATGTCGCTTGTGTGTATTTTACCGACGACTTCGTTCAGTGCATTCCGGCCTTACGCCCGGAAAAGGCTGAGGTGGGTTCGGAATCTCCATCAAAAAAGAAAGGGACGATGCATGGAGTGCAGGTTGACGTTGAAGAAATCCTACATGGTCGCATGGTGGACGCCCACGGGGGGGCCACTGAAAAGTGGAATCTCGATGCTACCGAGCATGGGATCTATGCGGAGCCAAATAAGCCCCCGGCAGAACCAGAACCGAAAGCCAACGCCCGTGGCTCCCTTGGCTTCACATTTGCCGGGGGTGGAGATGCACTGCTAGGGCCAATGTTGAAATACAAAGACTTGAAGGAGGTGGTTCTCATGGATATGGGCGTTATCAATCTGGAGTTTATCCACAACCTGCAGCACATCACTCTAAGGCTGACGGTGGAAGATGCGGCAAAGCGCACGGAGCTCTTGAACAATATCCAGGAGTTTTCGCTCTGCAGGCCCTGGGTCCATGGCTACGATGCAACCATTCGTGGCGCCTGGCAGCATCTGTACCACACAATGGTCTCCAAGGATCCGCTTTTTGACAAGCTCCTTGCTATCCCCCACTTCCTCATCGATGGCTTGCTAAAGCTTACGCTTTTTGCCGTGGATGTGAAAGATGTCAGAAAAGAAGGTCGGTGGCCTTTGTGTTTTGTGGGGGCCATGTTCTGGCTTGCGATCTTCTCCTTTTTCATGCTGGAGATTGCCAATCAGATCCACTACAACATACCGGCGCTCCCGAACAGCTTCTTGGGTATCACAGTTTGTGCCATTGGCACCTCGTTTCCCAACGCTGTTGCGTCTGTGCTCATGGCGCAGCAGAACAAGCCGGCAGCAGCGATTGCCAATGCTCTTGGGTCGAATGTGCAGAATGTGTTCCTTGCCATGGCGCTGCCTTGGGTCATCTTCCAATTCCAGTACGGTGGAAAGCCCATTGATCAGAATGTTGCAGGCATCGACGAGGGCGTGCTCTGGATGAGTGGCACCTTGCTGTTGGTGGTCTTCTTTGTTTTCCTTCCTCCTTTCTGTAAGCTCTCCTACGCCTACGGCCCAGTCCTCGTCTCGGTGTATCTGGCCTACCTCGTCATCACCAGCGGAGAGACCTTCCACTGGTGGCCTCCGCTGGTCAAGTGAAATTTCGGACGCTGAGCGGGATGTACCATAGGAGGGAGCTGTGAAGACCTATCAAGCAGGCGTGAAAGGGCCGGGAGCTTGCCGCAATAGTAATTCATGATGTGCCGTCGTCCTGATTGCCAGACGACTGATCGGTTTATGGAAGGATGGCCAAAGCAACGGTAGAGCGGGTGGGGATAAAAGAAGGCTCCAAAGAACATGCCCGCACAGACTGTTTTGTATTGGTGTCAGCGGACGCAGACTTGGGTGATCAAGCAAAATTTTGCTGAGTTGTTCGGCGATGGTCATACTGGATATTACTGGCAAGCGCGCCCCCTGGCGGCATTGGATCAACATGGGGTTTCTCTTGACCGCATGCTCCATCAGAACATCAGTCCTACACTACGTTACGCAAGCAGGAGGGCAATGCCAGAGTCTATCCTGCTTTTTGCGGGGTCGGTTCACTCCTCCTTGCTTCCTGTGGTGGAGCCAAGATTGATTTTCTCGTCGCTTCTTTGCTTTGCACGCGCAGGTGGTGCGCTGCATTCCTGTTTCAGTGCAGATTTGCATGAGGCCTGTTTGCGCCGCTAGGTACGGATTGGTACGTGCAAGTCGTTCGGCAGGCTCAGTGGACGTGCGGCATCTAGCAGCTGTGGCAGGTCAGCAGCTGAGCGGGGAAGATTCAGGGTCTCGAAGCACCATGCAAGCGAGAGCAAGCTCTTGTGATCGTATTTGACTGTCGCAGGCAAGGACACGCGTGACACATACACCCGCAGCACGAAGGGCCCAAGTCCGATGGAACGCCATTCCACAAGCGGGTGCAGTGCCCGGCTGCAGAAACTGGCAGATCGCACCTTTCGGCTGCATGGCGACTCGGATAAAATGCACTGGTGCACGGGTCTGGGTATGTATGGGAGTGAGGAGCGCGGGTACAGTTCAGGGTTTTTTTTTGAGGCGACCGAGAAGACCAAAGCCATGGGTGTGAGCGAGATCACCACCGAAGCAGCGTGTCGAACGAGTTGCCGATTTTTTGTGCTTGTTGCACACGGTGTGTAGTGTCGCTAGAGACGAGTCTTCTTGCAAGGCTGCCTTCCGAGAAGCTATCGCGGGCCATGCTGTGGTTTTGGTGCCTTGCTTTCTTTTGCCGACATGTCCTTCATCGTTGTGTGCAAACAGAAAGGTGTACTTCAGCTATGGCCCAAGAACAGCGGAAGTGCCGTTCTCACTCGGCTGCCTGCCGGCACTAAACTCTTCAGCCCAGTTCCAGATGATGTAGTTTAACAATGTGCCACTCGTATAAAAGGTGATGAATTTGACCCGCAATTTCAAGAATTCGGCGAGTCAGAGGAAGTGATTCCCCCGCCGCATGCCTTCAGATTAAAGTTCGACGCATGTGTACAAGCCGGGCAATTTGCAGCTGTGCTCGAGGTTATGCAGAGTAACTCACGCCGATGCAACACGGGACATTTTCGCAAGCGCGGGAATTAGCAGCACGGATGGTGGCAGCTTAGCTCTCTACAAAGAGGGCACGCAGCTTGCGAATGTCTCGCTGAAGGCTTTGCATGAAAGTGAGGAGCTTGAAGAAGAAATTGCTCGGTGGCTTTCTGGATCCTTTCCGACGGAGCATCAAACTCCGGAAGCCACCGATGCCGTCCCTCCTCAACCGCAGCCTGCACCCACAGCGGCAAGCCCTGTTCTGGGACAGACGCCTGGAACTACGTGCGGCGCTGCCCCAAAAGGCCCACCACCGGGACCGAAAGGACCACCAACAAGTCCCGTTCCAGGACAGACGGCCGGAGCTACATGCGGCGCTGCCCCAAAAGGACCACCACCAGGACCCAAACCGCCAGGCCAACCAACGACCACAGTCACATTTGGGGCTGCGCTTGCGGGACCACCGCCTGGACCAAAAGTCGCAGCGAGCCCTGTTCCAGGACAAACGGCCGGAGCTACATGCGGCGCTGCCCCAAAAGGCCCACCACCAGGACCCAAACCGCCAGGCCAACCCACGACCACGATCACATTTGGGGCGGCGCTTGCGGGACCCCCGCCTGGACC